ATAACTATAATCTGAAAGCCTACCGACACATAATTAATGTCATATAATGTCAAATGATTTCTAGATACTTGTAATGTATCTATGATACATGTAGCTAATGTATAAAGATGTGGATGTGTATTAATACTATCTTTATTGACTTGTACAAGGGCTGGTCAATGGTCCCCATTATATATGGTAGCAATAGCTTCATATCATCGTGGGGCGTACTTAATGAAACCTCAGTTTCCTGCCAACCTTCGGACAACCTTGTCACAAGGTTGTTATGTTTGTAACATGTTAGTCACAACTTCAGCACTTTTATACAAGGTTGTCACTAGGTTGCTCACAACTTTATCACTTTTGTACAAGGTTGTTACCAGGTTGCTACAACCTTGCGAGGTTGTGAACTGGTTGTAACAAGCTTGTAGCAAGCTTGAAATTTCTATATGGGAATGGGACGGGAAGGTAAACCTCGACAATTACTGGTTATTGGTGGGTATGGTCCTTTATCTACTACTACTACTAAACGGAATCGTCAGTTCAAATATGATGCAATTAGGAAACCTGGTGTTGATGATTATCTTATAACTAATGAACAAAATACCTACAAACTTTCCAGTGGTAAGTGGCTCGTTAGAAATATAACTATTTTGAAGTAAATTACATGTAGTTTACTAGAGTCAATAGTGATACATGTATTACATAATAAAAAATAATAACATGCAATTATTTTTAGGTCAATGGATTGTTCCAACTGTCATTGGACAGTGTTTTCCACCAACTAGTCACTTTATAATTGAAAGAATCAGTCATAATAAAGGAATTATGTATGGAGGAATAGTGACTGATGGTGATGAAGATATTTCTACTAACAGTATCTACTTTTTTCAATTATCAAATAATAAAATAGTAAGTTATACTATCAGTATACATAACCTGTGCATTAGTTTATACTGCCTTTGAAGTAAAGTACGTATGAATACCGTTACATCTAAGCGCGGAAATTATTACCCACACAAGTACCACACCCCTTGGTTAGGGGTCTGACACTGCCTCAAATTTTGTATGGGATGCCTGGATTCCTAAATTCAGGTGCTGGATTCCTGCTTGATTCTAAATGGTATACTACAAAAATGCTTGTATAACTCTAGATACTGCCTAAAATTCTAAAAATCTTGGATTCCACTGGATTCTATTTGGATTCCAAAGAGAGTGTAGTACTGGACTCTGGGTTTTGTCAGACCCCTTGACAAAACAGAAGGAATGGAGATAGACGAAAATTTCCAAAATAAGAAGGAAATAAGTTGTTTATAGCAGGAAAGAGGCTCTTCACTGATTCATAATAGATACGAAAAGAACTGCATGCTCATTGTTCTTTATAC